TAAGATAAACCTCCAGGTTCGTTATGGTTTACTTAAACTCTACATACTAATGAGAAATTTCAGGAAAATGTGAAAGCACCTCAAACCACATTTTCTTACTACCAAGCTCCCATGCGCTGTCACCTCTTCCTGAACTCAAACTAATGGCTCGTCTCCTTAGCTACCTACTATTCAATCACGCGATCACATAATATCTTTCTTTCTCCAAGGGAGGGTATACCTTGCATCACTACAACTAAAAAGGAAATAATATGAATGAATTAGATGGTGATGGCTTCCTCACCAAATAAGCATGTAAAGATAATAAGAACTTACATATGTTCAAGCAGGAAAAGGAAGCAAACCAAGTACATGTTTGAATGAATATATAATCTATTGTAGACCTTGCCTAGTACAAATAGTGACAAGCAAGCACAAGATGCATCAGCTTACATGCTTTAAACCACTTCCATTGACATGCACAACTGATTACATTACAAAGAAGTATATCGTGTCATATAGGCATGGGCATGATACCACCCGTTGCGCCAACTGGAGCAGAGACCCACTAACACCATGTGTGCTTTGAAAAAAATTCCATATATTAGTAGGTTTAGCTGTTGCCAAGCACGTACACTGCTTTACACCCGTTTCGGAATCATTCTTTTTTAAACCATGCAATAGGATTGCATATATTCCAGAGGAGTCTTTACACAATCGGGGATGATCAAATGACCCAAGCTCACACCAGCCTACTGCCTAGTATCAGGATCGATGACTCTCTGGAGCAGCGCGAAGACACTATTAAAGCCCGCTATCTTGTCCCTCCATATGCTCCAAATGACCACGGAGATAAAAGCATTCACAATTTTCTGTCGCCCACCCTGCATTCTTGACCTAGCATCCTGCCACCGGACACGAAGAGCAAGATCAGTAGGAGTGACCTCGTTTCAGAATCATTCTAAAAAAATACCTAAAGTCTGTCAATATAGACGAAAACAAAATTCTTGAGTACTTACCGAGGCTTCTTTATGTAAACTAGAAGAGAGATAAAAATCAGACATCACAACATATAAAATCCCATGAAAATGTGTTGCTCAACAGTTCTTCCAGTTGGTGTATTCTCATATTCCAGGGAAACATGAAATTCATACAAAATGAAAAACCTAGGACATGGCTGGGTATAGTCTTTAAGACAAAACCAGGATTTGACTAATCAACACAGGACAACAAAGCACAAATTTTGTGAGTTCAGAGCAAGCACAAAATTTGGAGAGCCAGATTGCATAAAAGTTGACAAAAGGTCACTTGATTAGCCTATAAATGCAGGAGAAGTCAAATTCTAAGTAATTTTTTCTCCTCCATAAGTGCTTACATCATACAGCTCACCTCGACAACCCAGGAAGTAGTCTTTGCTGTAACAACAAAAAGAACAAACTTGTAGGGAAAGATCCCTCCATCTTCAAGCAACATCCTTGAAAGGCTTAGTTATTCCTGCAAGGATTTGAGTAAATATCTTGTTTTATTACAGGACAGCACCGAAATGAGAAAAGTAAACAAACATGAAGCATTGTGAGCGCCATAACGAGAGGCAAGTACATACATAATCTAGCGCCTGAGAGCTGAGATTACATCGCACAGCTGAGAGGGTCTCAATAGTTACATAAAAGGGTAAACATTGTAGCTGGCCATGAATTATTTGATAGCAGAAAATCTTGACAGAATAGCATCTCTACAGATCAATTGTTAGCAATGAAAAATATACCAAGAGATAAAGCAAAAGGCAGTACAATTTATTTGGAAAAGATGAATGCTAGCTATTATAATAGAACCAATTATATATGTCATTCCTCATTTAAAGAAAACACTTTATTGAGAGTGACATATTAATCAACTCATAAGTCCTAAATGAGTAAAGAAAGGACATTAATAGAGACGATTTGCGAACATGATGGTTGTTGTAAGGTGCAAGTATATAGGTGCAACAAAGAAAGCAAAACTGCTATTTGGAAGCTACTGGGCAACAAATGTTTCTGAAAATTGATGAACCAATCACACACACATATATACTATTTTATTAGCTGAATGAAACATGGTCCAACCAAGCACCGCAGGGAAGTCCTCGGCTTGATCAACCAACCATTGCATAAAGAAAATGTCAAAGGACGATAGCTAAAGAAAATATATAAGCTTAAGTGGCGAACAAATAGCTTTTGCACTCAGTGTATATAGCCATACTATTTATATACTAAAAGAATAGTCTGCTTGGTTGAAAGCTTTTTCTATACATATCTATCGTATCAAATCGATTTATAATTTAACTCCACAACCGAAATTGTAAGTGTGCACACATTTCAGGCACGTATCCTACTATGCAATAGATTTTAGAAGTATCATGAGAAACTAGAGAATTAACTTGCCTGCCTGACCTATCATCTGGAGATTAACAGAAGGCCGAACCAACACATCCAAGCATTTGTAGAATTGGACCCCAAACAATTGAGAAATGATGCCTAGAATGGAAAGGCTGCACAAGGCACACAAGAATAATCTAAAGCAGGGTAATCATAAAAATGGAATATTATCAACCTACCACAAAGCAGGATGCTGAACTATACAACTCATGTCTTTTCAGGAACATATTTGCACACAAAAAATTTAGATGCACAAAATAGAGCCAGGAAAGCTGGATACTATAATCTGAATCACCAAAAATCAGTTGAACTATTCATACCCAAAAGTAGGCAAAAGGGAGAGTACATATATTAGTTCTTCCAAACCATCTAAGACGGGTCATATTTAGCTGTAGGCAAAGAAAGGTACATTTCTGTAGTTATAGACTTATAGTTGCATAAGCACCATGCATGCGGTATGATGGCATCATGACCAAAACTATGAAATTCAAAAGACATTTTTGTACTAATTGGCTCCTCAGTGCAGTGGCGGAGCCAAGGGGGGGCGAGCAGGGGCCTGGCCCCCCCTAACGATCGAGCAAGCAGTCACCAGCCACCACGAGGTAATTAGCGATAACAACGGTGAACACTTGTACCTGGCCCCTCCTATCACCTCAAGGTAAATTCTGGAAAACGGCAAAGAGCCCATGAGAAAGCTCATTAATGGCCAGATGGCCACGTCCGTAGTTTCGTAGGTCGTGGCGCTCTCCCGTGATTAGCGTGTGCGTGGGATTAGCCCTTGCACCGCTGCCATCCGCTCCCCTGCCGCCTGCGTGCCCCTGGCCCTCCCTGCTCAACTTAGGATCAGATTGGATTCAAACGGCGACGTAGTTGCTTCACTCGTTGATTCATTAGGCTCGAGCCAATCGTACTAAACTTGCCAAGGTTAAGATCCTACAGTATATTCTAATCATTCTCAATTCTTTTTTTGTATGTGTGTAATTTATAGATTTCATTTATTCTCTTTGGGTGATCAGTGATGCCGTGAGATTTTTTATATTTTACTTGTTCAAGAAATCATCGTGATGCAAATTATCGTATACTAGTTCCTATATGTGGTGCAAATATTTCATATGACGAACTTATACAGTACAACAAATTCTGAAACTTCAGTTCAACGGCTATGAAGAGAAAAACACCATCAAGCATCAAGATTAATTCATTTCGAAGCATGTTGCTGCATCTAGTTATAACTCTCCCAATTTCAACGGCAAGTGTTTTTTTTACTACTAAAACTGTGAACACCCGTCTTAGAAGTAAAATGTGAGACGGCTTGCTTTGTCATGGCATGATAATCTACATTGATAAATAATTAGTAGATGCCTCATTTCTCTTATAAAATGTGGCGGAGGGAAACCCCTTCTCATAAAAATAATAATATAATTTGCAGCCAAGACCCCTTCTGATGAAATTATTAATATTAAGATTTTTTACTAGCAATCATGGAGGCAAATTTAAACTAATTCAAATGTAATGATCTTTTTATAGCACCGAAGCACCACCTATACGGGTTTTTTTTCTGCACTAGATATTTTTCTTGTCAACTTAGCTTGGCCCCCCCTATGTTCAAATCCTGGCTCCGCCCCTGCCTCAGTGAAGCTGGTACAGAAGAAGAGGATCGTACTGGGTATTGTTCTTATCTTTCTAGAAAAGAAAGGGTAAAAACTGATTCAGAGCTGTCTGCAGATAGGCAAATCTATTCATCTTGATTAACTAACGAGTTTATATACTTATTCCCTCGATTTTATTCTGTCTAGTAGGTTTGCAGTAGACGTGGGTACAGGTTACTCAATCTGAAAGCCGGAACGGTAGTGTTGGAGCAGATCAAACGACTGGGCCACTCAAATGTGATTTTCATCAGTTGGTCATCACAGATACTTGACTCGCATACTTCTTCCCTCGACTTTGTTCTGTCCAGTAGGTTCTGCAGTAGATGGAAAACAAACGAGATGTTTTGTCCTCAATGTGCTAATTCAAACTAAACAATCAGAATGAGGCGTGCTCTCTAGAGATGGAAAGCAACGAACTGAATGTCCCAGCAAAACAATAAACTGTACCACAAGAGTTTGAAGAATTTATTGGTTGCACCATTACTAATGAAGTTAACATCCACCCGCCAAATGATATTTGATCTAGGGGTAGGATAAACAGAACTAAGGGGAATAAAGAGAAGGGAAGCAGAAAAGGTAACAACGATAAGGCGAAGGTGTCGCAATTGTGCGAGATTCTATCTATTTGTTCGTGTTTAAGAATCAGCTTTTTTATCTGTCTGACTTCATGAACTTTTAATTGGATATTCACTCTTGCCGTGATACTTTTTTATTTGTGTGAATGACTTAGTTAATATTCATTCATCGTCATGTACAGTTTAGTTGCAACTGAAATATATGTACTTATAACTATCTGAATGCTTAGATTTTCATGTCTACATATATATGACCAAACAGCAAGTTAGAGGCTTGCAGAAAACACACACAAATCGCCAGATATCTTGTAATAATGCAGTATAGGATATCTTGCAGTTCCGGGCAATACTGACCAACTGACCATCTTCTTAATAGCCCCAAGCTACTGAGAAACCTGCAAACCCATCCAAACCAACAAAAATGACATTAGGAACAGACCCCTTGCATCACCTGCACTTCTCCAAGCTCTACTGATAGAGACATACCTTGCATCTGGTACTCATAGAAGCATGGGGGATATGGCTGATATACAGGACAGGGGCCGTGTTCTCCGGCTCCTCTGGTTGCTTCTTCTCCCGAATCCTCTGCTCTTTCCCCTCCAGAGGCTACAACAATCACAACACAACATCAGGGACAAGGAAAAGATGCATGTGCGTGTGTTTTTCTATTGGGTTCGATTTGGTTCGAAGGCAAAGCACGCACGCACCATGAAGTCCTTCCCCTCACGGTCTTGGAACCAGCCGAGCGCCGCAAGAACACCCGCCTCTGTTTCCTCTTCTTCTCCATCAACCCCATCTCCCTCAGTGAAACCTCCATGTAGCTCTCTCTGTCATTGAAGAATTCAGGTTATCAAATGTAAAAGTGTACAATATATGTATTCTAACTATCAAAATTGACCAGCGGCGCAGGACTGTAGAGTAAAAGACTAGCACGCTATGCATGCCTACCATGTTTCACAATGAAATAAAGCTGGATTGCAACTGAAATATCTCTCCTTGTATCTCCTATATCCCACACACCTAAATTAAACAAGCAAGTTAGCATGTCATTATTTACAAAGAAACACCACAACAACCTTATCAACTACTCCTTTCTTCTCTGTCGTTGTAATTTTTTAACAAGGTGCAATGATTTATCCCTATTTACTCTTACACTAAGATGTAAATTTAGTGTGTGGCATATATGTTAATACACCCAACCTAAAATCTGAGGAGAGTAAAAACTTATGCAGGACAGGAGCATCATGAGGCCTAGGTTGGGATCAGCTCACCTTCTAGCATAGGACGAACTCATCTGGACAGTACCAAATAGAACATTCAATCCTTAACAATGTATTCAATAATATGAAAGAGAAATGCATCCTGTTACAGGCGAAGAAGATCACCTTGCGCCTCATAAGTCCAGTCAACCAAGAGTTAGCTGCATTGTTCCAGATCTCATCTAATACTTTTGTCACTCGTTGCTCTACAATGTTCCAGATCTTAATATATTATCACTAAAGAAACATTCGTGAGAATATTTCGATCAGATTAGAGAATCAACTAATAACTATCAACTACTTTTTCGACGTTGTATTTTTATACGCACCTTAACAAGGCCAATCCAGCTATAGCATGTAGGTTTGGCCCATGCGGTTGTGGACTATCTTGCATCTCCTCGTTTTATCCAAGAATCCAGTGATGGAAATCCACTCCCTCAAGCCGGAGAAGAAACATAGCTGAGAAAATCTCGCCGGAGAATAAGAACAGAGCATGGGCTGGTACTTACCAGGGTGATGCACATGTAGTTGGCCGGCGGGCGCGGAGGACTGCGCGAAGGGGACGGCGGAAGCGGGATCCGGCACCGGCGGCTCGAGGGGATGGGAGGCTCCCTGCCGCTACTGTCACTCCCCACGGTGAGGAGATGCAGTGGCTGCCGGCCAAGGAAGGAAGAGGCCGCGGCGGGGAGGCGGAGGAGGAGGCGCTCATGGTGGAGGACAGGAGGATGGGGGCGGAGTGCTGCGGCGGCTGTGGGGCTGGGCGTCTGGGCGAAAGGAGTCAGGCACGTCGCGCGCGGCGCGGGAAGTGCGGCCTGGCCCAAAGCGCTCTCGCATGTTCAACGGGCTGACCCAGCCAATAAAGAAACCACTGACGAATAGGACCATCAGCCAACTCGGGCCACTCGTCATAGTGCGAAAGGGTACCGGCGGGTGTGCATGCGACGATTCATCCTTTCCATCAACTGCAGACGTCCCCCTCAAAAAAAAAAAAATCAACTGCAGACGAGCCAGGCAACCCACGACGCGTGGCGCGTAGGGAAAGGTTCACGCGGGGAAGTCTCACCCAGCCAATAGACAGGTGCTGAGAGCCCATCAGTCATGGAGGAGAAAAAATAATAGCAAGGTAAAATGTGCAGTAAAGATCTAACGGTCTGGACGACTCGGTTGACCGAAATCTGGCAGATCGAACGGCCAACGAAGGAGCAAATCGGGGGAGCTTCCTGATGGGGAGTCGCCCAGCATTCTTATAGGTTAAAATAGGCATCTTCCCCGAAAATCCCGGATCATTTCCATCCCTAACCCTAGCCTCTTCCTCCTCTCACCGCCGGACGCATCTGATCGGGCCGAACACGTCCGCGCCGCCGCCACCGACGAACCACAAGCCGCCATGTGGCCGTCGCCGCGCCAGGCCCGAGGCTGGCCCCCGAGGCCCAGTCGCCCGCGCCGCCGGCCGAGCCTCCCCAGCCGCCGTCCGCCACCGACCGTCGCCTCCTCTCCGCTCGCCGCTGACCCCGACCACGGCGGCCACCCTCGCCGCCGCCTCGCGCCGCCCCGACGACTCTGGTGGCCGGATCCGGCGTCCCCCTCTCCGGCGACCTCGCCGACCCTCTTCTCCGAGCTCCGGCGCCAACTTCGGCGAGCTCCCCGTCCAACCTCGTCACCCGTGCCCGATCTAGATCCGCTGCTACAGTAAACCCTAGAGGTTGACCCGTTTTCTGCCTAAGTCCCTAGTATTTTTAGCTAACTTCATCATGTCATATCTTTGCATCTGTGGCTCCGTTTTGGGCGTGTAGCATATCAAATTGTTCGTCTGGATGTGCACTTCATTTCATTCCATTGCACCATGTTCATTTGAGTTCATCTTGATGCCCTAAATGTTGTTGCAAGAGTGCTATGTGATGTTAGTCTCAGATTCTTATCAGATTATGGACATTTGTCATTTTTGCCATGTTTAATGTGTGCCTCGTATGATCTTGAGCTCTACATGTGTTTTGTTGTATGTCATGCCATCTTTACAGGGGTGTATGCCATGTATTTTTGTGATCTTTGTGGTGACTAGCACAAGCATGCAAAGTAGCTCTCGTGATGTTGCTGATTTCAGTGACTTAGAATTCTTCTAAGTCATTTTCCTGATGTTATTTTTATGCCATGTATTCATGTTGCTACAGAATGATTCATGCCTCTTTTGAGCATGTTCAGTAAGGATGTTTTTGAGATATTGTTATGTTATATCCATCAATGTCTTTGTTTGCAATTATGGAGTACCCTAGCATGATTCAATCTTGCTCTACTTTTGCTATAAAATATTCCTTGCAGATTGTTTATGTGTTAATCAATCTTGCCAAGGTTGTTGTAGTTGATCCATGCATGCTATGAGAGTGTTCTTGCCATGGTTAGCTTATTTATCATGTCTACTTGTTGGGTGTATGCTTAGATTGTCATGCAATGCCTTGTGGTGAGTGCATCGTGCTCGCAAACATGCCTACGTAACTCTGTCTTGCCATGTTCCAGTTTTCTGCTAAGTCTGAATATGTTAAAGAACTTGCTATGTTTACATGGGTGCCATTGTATTTCCTGATCCCTTTTGGCTTATGGTCAGTAAAGGACTTCTGTTGTATGCTTTGTGTAGTTTCATGCCATACCTTGTTTTGCCATGATATGTTCCTCTAGCATGTTGTTATCTTGCTCTAAACATTGCTTCCTGATGTTAAATCATGTCATGTTGTTATTTTCACTAAGTCTGTGAACCTGATATCTTTTGCACTTTTGCCATGCTTGCTTGAACCTGTTATTGTGTGAATTAGTCGTAGCTCAGTGTTCATATTTTGTCAAGCATCTTGAGTGGATCTCTGCCATGTGCTTTGTTGCTATGTTAGAGTGCAGTAGCTTATTTTTCTTGATGCATTTAGATGGCCTCTTGCTGTTAATCGCAGCTTTGTGCCATTATTGTTTTGCTTGCCATTTGCAAACCGTGCATCCGATTCCGGTGATCTTTATATCGATTTTGACTGAAATCAACTCATCTTTCCAGTGGCACTCTTGGTTTGCCAAGTTGAGGCATGGTTCAATCTTTCCCGTCTAGAGCACGCATATGCATTGCATATCACATCCCGCATATCATGCCATGTTTTGCATCATGTTGTTTGCGCATTGCACCGTGGTTGATTGTTTCTCCCTTTGCTTATGTTCTTGCTTTGGGTAGAGCCGGGAGACGAGTACGTGATTGAGGAACCCGTTGAGTACGCTTACGAGCATCAGGCTTACGTCAACTCAGAGAACTTTGCAGGCAAGATGACCATACCCTCGAAATCATTTCTATCTTTGCTTGCTAGTTGCTCGCTCTATTGCTATACCTATGCTACGATACCTACCAATTGCTTATCATGCCTCCCATATTTCCATGTCAAACCTCTAACCCACCTTGTCCTAGCAAACCGTTGTTTGGCGACCGCTTTGCTTAGCCCCTCTTATAGCGTTGTTAGTTTCAGGTGAAGATTGGAGTTTGTTCCTTGTTGGAACGTGTTTATTGTTGGGATATCATTATTATATCTTGTTTACTTTAATGCATCTATATACTTGGTAAAGGGTGGAAGGCTCGGCCTTATGCCTGGTGTTTTGTTCCTCTCTTCTCGCCCTAATTTCTGTCATACCGGTGTTATGTTCCTTGATTTTGCGTTCCTTACACGGTTGGGTTATAATGGGAACCCCTTGACAGTTCGCCTTGAATAAAACTCCTCCAGTAAGGCCCAACCTTGGTTTTACCATTTGCCACCTAACCTTTTTCCCTTGGGTTCCGCGGACTCAAGGGTCATCTTTATTTTAAACCCTCCGGGCCAGTGCTCCTCTGAGTGCTGGTCCAACTTGTCAGCCATCGGTGGCCACCAGGGGCAACTCTGGGCTGGCCTACCGAAAGTTTGGACAATCCGGTGTGCCCTGAGAACGAGATATGTGCAGCTCCTATCGGGATTTGTCAGCACATTCGGGTGGCTTTGCTGGTTTAGTTTTACCATTGTCGAGATGTCTTGTAAACGGGAATCCGAGTCTGATCGGGTCATCCTGGGAGAAGGAATATCCTTCGTTGACCGTGAGAGCTTGTGATGGGCTAAGTTGGGACACCCCTGCGGGGATTTGATCTTTCGAAAGTCGTGCCCGCGGTTATGGGCGGATGGGAATTTGTTAATGTCTGGTTGTAGAAAACCTGAAACTCTACTTAATTAAAATGGATCAACGGCGTGTGTAGTCGTGATGGTCTCTTTTCGGCGGAGTCCGATAAGAGCACATGGTCTCGGGTTATGCTTGAACGTAATTAGACTTGGATCACTTCTTGATCATACATTCTCAAACGTGCTTTTCCTTCTCTTCTCGCTCTCATTTGCATATGTTAGCCACCATATAAGCTAGTGCTTGCTGCAGCTCCACCTCATACCTTTTCCCTACCCATAAGCTTAAAATAGTCTTGATCGCGAGGGTGTGAGATTGCTGAGTCCCCGTGACTCACAGATTACTTCAAAACCAGATGCAGGGACCAATGATACTATTCCAGGAGATGCGACTGAGC